TGTGAAAACCTGGTCAAGTTCATAATCTCTCTGAGCTTCAGTTTCCCAGCTATAAAATGGGAATATATTGTTGTTGTTAGTTGGTGGTGGTGATGGCTCCCACTGACACTCCCCAGTCCTGTGCTGTCTTCATGATCATTGGTACGTCTGAGTCCACTGTTGGAAGATACTGTCAATCCATCTCATTGAGGATCTCCCTAGTTTTCACTGACTCTCCTACCAAACACAATGTCCTTTTCAAGCGGTTGGTCTTTCCGGACGATGTGCCCAAAGTTTAAGTGCGGCAAAGTCTTGCCATCCTTGCTTCTAAGGAGTATTTTGGGTGTATTTCTTCTAAGACTGATTTGTTCGTTCTTCTGGCAGTATACAGTATGTTCAATATTCTTTGCAATGCCACAATATGAATGCAACAATTCTTCTTCTGTCTTCTTTTTCATTGTCCTGGAGAATATACAAACTCTGTAATAGGTTTAGAGGTACCCGGCACACGGTATGATTTGAAAAATGGTAGTTTTAATTGTTATATCACTTGCAAGACAAAATGTAAATTCTTCTCTTGGAAAAAGGCCCTTCATGATCTGGTCCACAACCTCCAATGACGGCTATCTATCTCCTACAGTTCAGCCTCCAACTTAATGCTCCAGCAATATTACCTGTGCTTCTTGTACTTCTGAGCCTTTGAATGGGGTATTTCCTGTCTGGATGCCCCCTTTTAATGGCCATCTGGCAAACCTTTTCCCAGTCTTCAGAGCTATGCTTATTTTCTCTATTTCCAAATATTTATTGAGAGTCTTCTTTGGCACTATGATTGATGATGGATACTATTTCTTTTCTGCAACATTATTTCTGGACCTCCCCACAAGACTTAAGTGTTTTTCTCATTATGGATCTATAGTTTATACCTATTTCCATTCTAGAACCTGTCATACTGTATTTTAATTATTTGCAGGTTTGTCTTACATCATATGTTTCCGGAGAGCAGGGACCATGTCTTTTTGCCCTCTTTGCCTAACAGTCTGATTCAATAAGTATTTATTGAATAAATACTACTGTTGCAATTAATTCAGTTGAATAAACATAAAGTTGAGTAACTACCATGTGCTCAGTGGGCACTGGAGATTCAAAGGTAAGTAAAATACAGTTCTTGCCCTCAGAAGTTCTCATTTCATGAGAGACAGATGTGCTGTATCACAGCGGTATATGAATGAAGTACAATAGGAAGAGAAAGGAAAGCAAATATATTCTGCCAGGGAAAGGAGAAGTGCTCCCCCCACCCCAATCTGGTTCAGAGCTTTTTTTCCTTCTAATTTCAATTAAATTCAAACAAATATTTACTGAGTCATCAGATGTTTCCACCTATATGTTGACTCACTACGAATGTGATAAATGTTGCCATTAGTGACATGATTTTCCAAAGTGGTGGACAACTCTTGGTAGGATTCCAAACAAAACAAAGTACAATCCTCCTTCAGTAACACAGTAGTTTTATTCCTGGAATATTCAAGATATATGAAAACACTGCAAAAAGTTCCA